GTTAGACCAACTGGCCTGTTTGTACAATGGACCGGTTGGACCATCTGGCCTGTTGGTCCAATGGACCGGTTAGACCAACTGGCCTGTTGGTCCAATGGACCGGCTGGACCAACTTGCCTGTTTGGTTCATTTGACCGGTTGGGCCAACTGGCCTATTGGTCCAATGAACCGGTTGGACCAACTGGCCTGTTGGTCCAATGGACCGGTTGGACCAACTGGCCTGTTAGTCCAATGGACCGGTTGGACCAAGTAGTCTGTTTGGTCCAATAAATGCCTGTTTGTCCGATGAACCGTTTGGACCAACTGGCCTGTTGGACCAATGGATCGGTTGGACCAACTGGCCTGTTGGTCCAATGAACCGGATGGACCAACTGGCTTCTTGGTCCAATGGACCAGATTGACCAACTAGCCTGTTGGTCCAATGGACCGATTGGACCAACAGGCCTGTTGGTCCAATGCTTCGGTTGGACCAACTAGCCTGTTGGTCAAATGGACCGGTTGGATCAGCTGGAATGTTGGTCCAATGGACCGGTTGGACCAACTGGCCTGTTGGTCCAATGGACCAGTTCGACCAACAGGCCTGTTAGTCCAATGGACCGGTTGGACCAACTGAACTGTTTGGTCCAATAAAGGCCTGTTAGTCCAATGGAACGGTTGGACCAACTGGCCTGTTGGTCCAATGGACCGGCTAGACCAACTTGCCTGTTTGGTGCATTTGATCTGTTGGACCAACTAGTCTGTTTGGTCCAATAAATGCCTGTTTGTCCGATGAACCGTTTGGACCATCTGGCCTGTTGGACCAATGGATCGGTTGGACCAACTGGCCTGTTGGTCCAATGGACCGGATGGACCAACTGGCTTCTTGGTCCAATGGACCAGATTGACCAACTAGCCTGTTGGTCCAATGGACCGATTGGACCAACAGGCCAGTTGGTCCAATGCTTCGGTTGGACCAACTAGCCTGTTGGTCAAATGGACCGGTTGGATCAGCTGGAATGTTGGTCCAATGGACCGGTTGGACCAACTGGCCTGTTGGTCCAATGGACCAGTTGGACCAACAGGCCTGTTAGTCCAATGGAACGGTTGGACCAACTGGCCTGTTGGTCCAATGGACCGGCTAGACCAACTTGCCTGTTTGGTGCATTTGATCTGTTGGACCAACTAGCATGTTGGTCCAATGAACCAGTTGGACCAACTGGCCTGTTGGTGCAATGGACCGATTGGACCAACTGGCTTGTTGGTCCAAAGGACAGGTCAGACCTACTGGCCTGTTGTTCCAATGGACCGGTTGGACCATCTGGCCTATTGGTCCAATGCACCGGTTGGACCAACTGGCCCGTTGGTCCAATGGACCGGTTGGACCAACTGGCCCGTTGGTCCAATGGACCGGTTGGACCAATTGGCCTATTGGTCCAATGAATGCCTGTTGGTCCAATGGACCGGTTGGACCAACTGGCCTGTTGGGCCAATGGACCGGCTAGACCAACTTGCATGTTTGGTCCATTTGACCGGTTGGACCAACTGGCCTGTTGGTGAAATCAACCGGTTGGACCAACTGGTCTGTTGGTCCAATGGACCGGTTGGACCAACTGGCTTGTTGGTCCAATGGACCGGCTAGACCAACTTGCCTGTTTGGTCCATTTGACCCGTTGGACCAACTGGCCTGTTGGTCCAATGGAACGATTGGACCAACTGGCCTGTTGGTCCAATGGACCGGCTACACCAACTTGCCTGTTTGGTCCATTTGAACCGTTGGACCAAATGACCTGTTGGACCGATGGACCGGTTGGACCAATAGGCCTGTTAGTCCAATGGACCGGTTGGACCAAAAGGTCTGTTTGGTCCAATAAGGGCATGTTTGTCCAATGAACCGGTTGGACCAACTGGCCCGCTGGTCCATTGGACCGGTTGGACCAACTGGGCCGTTGGTCCTATGGACCCGGTTGGACCAAATGGCATGTTTGGTCCAATGGACGGGTTGGACCAATTGGCCAGTTGGTCCAATGGACCGATTGGACCAACTAGCCTGTTTGGTCCAATGGAGGCCTGTTGGTCCATTGGACCAGTTGGACCAACTGGCCTGTTCTACCAATGGACAGGTTGGACCAACTGGCCTGTTGGTCCAATAGACCGGTTGGACCATCTGGCTTGTTGGTCCAATGGAGCGGTTAGACCAACTGGCCTGTTTGTCCAATGGACCGGTTGGACCATCTGGCCTGTTGGTCCAATGGACCGGTTGGACCATCTGGCTTGTTGGTCCAATGGAGCGGTTAGACCAACTGGCCTGTTTGTACAATGGACCGGTTGGACCATCTGGCCTGTTGGTCCAATGGACCGGTTAGACCAACTGGCCTGTTGGTCCAATGGACCGGCTGGACCAACTTGCCTGTTTGGTTCATTTGACCGGTTGGGCCAACTGGCCTATTGGTCCAATGAACCGGTTGGACCAACTGGCCTGTTGGTCCAATGGACCGGTTGGACCAACTGGCCTGTTGGTCCAATGGACCGCCGGTGGGCCAACTGGCCCGTTGGTCCAAAAGACCGGTTGGACCAACTTGCGTGTTTGGTCCAATGGACCGGTTCAACCAACTCGCTTATTGGTCCGATGGATGCCTGTTGGTCCAACGGACCGGTTGGACCAACAAGCCTGTTGGTCCAACGGACCGGTTGGACCAACAAGCCTGTTGGTCCAATGGACCGGCTAGACCAACTTGCCTGTTTGGTCCGTTTGACCGGTTGGACCAACTGGCCTGTTGGTCCAATGAACCGGTTGGACCAACTGGAATGTTGGTCCAATGGACCGGTTGGACCAACTGGCCTGTTGGTCCAATGGACCAATTTGACCAACTGGCCTGATAGGTCCAATGGACCGTCTGTTGGACCAACTAGCCCGTTGGTCCAATGGACCGCCGGTTGGGCCAACTTGCCCGTTGATCCAAAAGACTGGTTGAACCAACTTGCGTGTTTGGTCCAATGGACCAGTTGGACCAACTGGCCTGTTGGTCCAATGGACCGGTTTGACCATCTGGCCTGTTGGTCCGATGGACCGGTTGGACCAACTAAACTGTTGGTCCAATGGACCGGTTGGACCATCTGGTCTGTTGGTCCAATGGACCGGTTAGAGCAACTCGCCTGTTGGTCCAATGGACCGGTTGGACCATCTGGCCTGTTGGTCCAATGGACCGGTTGGACCAACTAGCCTGTTGGTCCAATGGATGCCTGTTGGTCCAATGAACCGGTTGGACCAACTGGCCTGTTGGTCCAATGGACCGGCTAGACCAACTTGCCTGTTTGGTCCATTTGAGCGGTTGGACCAACTGGCCTGTTTGTCCAATGAACCTGTTGGACCAACTGGCCTGTTGGTCCAATGGACTGGTTGGACCAACTGGCGTGTTGGTCCAATAGATGCCTGTTGGTCCAATGGACCGGTTGGACCAACTGGCCTGTTGGTCCAATGGACCGGCTAGACCAACTTGCCTATTAGGTCAATTTGACCGGTTGGACTAACTGGCCTGTTGGTCCAATGAACCGGTTGGACCAACTGGCCTTTTGGTCCAATGGACCGGTTGGACCAACTGGCTCGTTGATCCAATGAACCTGCTGGATCAATTGGCCTGTTGGACCAACAGGCCTGTTTGGACCAACTAGCCTGTTCGTCCAATGGACCGGCTGGACCAACTGGCCTGTTTGGTCCAATGGAGGCCTGTTGGTCCAATGGATCGGTTGGACCAACTGGCCTGTTGGTCCAATGGACCGGTTCGACCAACTAGCCTGTTGGTCCAATTGACCAGCTAGACCAACTTGCCTGTTTGGTCCAAAAGACCGGTTGGAACAACTGGCCTATTGGTCCAATGGACCGGTTGGACCAACTAGCCTGTTGGTCCAATAGACCGGTTGGACCAACTGGCCTGTTGGTCCAATGGACCGGTTCGACGAACTGGCCTGCTGGTCCAATGGACCAGCTAGACCACCTTGCGTGTTTGGTCCAAACGACCGGTTGGACCAACTTGCGTGTTTGGTCAAATGGACCAGTTGGACCTACTGGCCTGTTGGTCCAATGGACCGGTTGGACCAACTGGCCTGTTCGTCCAACCGGCTGGACCAACTGGCCTGTATGGTCCAATGGAGGCCTGTTGGTCCAATGGACCGGTTGGACCAACTGGCTTGTTGGTCCAATGGACCGGTTGGACCAACTGGCATGTTGGTCCAATTGACCAGCTAGACCAACTTGCCTGTTTGGTCCAATGGACAGGTTGGACCAACTGGCCTGTTCGTCCAATGGACCGGTCGGACCAACTGGCTTGTTTGGTCCAATACAGGCTTGTTGGTCCATTGGACCGGTTGGACCAACAGGCCTGTTTGGTCCAATGGAGGCTGTTTGGTCCAATGGACCGGTTGGACCAACAGGCCTAATGGTCCAATGGACCGGTTGGACCAATTGGCGTGTTGGTCCAATGGACCAGTTGGACCAACTGCCCAGTTGGTCTAATGGACCGCTGGTTGGGCCAACTAGCCTGTTGATCCAATGGACCGGTGTGGCCAACTTGCCCGTTGGTCCAATGGACCGGTTGGACCAACTGGCCGGTTGATCCTATGGACCGGTTGGACCAAATGGCCTATTGGTCCAATAGACCGATTGTACCAATTGGCCTGTTGGTCGAATGGACCGATTGGACCAACTGGCCTATTGGTCGAATGGACCGATTGGACCAACTGGCCTGTCGGTCCAATGGACCGATTGGACCAACTGGCCAGTCGGTCCAATGGACCGGTTGGACCAACTGGGATGTTGTCCAATGGACCGGTTGGACCAACTGGCCTGTCGGTCCAATGGACCGGTTGGACCAACTGGCCTGTCGGTCCAATGGACCGGTTGGACCAACTGGCCCGTGGGTCCAATGGACTTACTGGACCAACTGGCCCGTGGGTCCAATGGACCGACTGGACCAACTGGCCCGTTGGTCCAATGGACCGACTGGACCAACCGGCCCGTTGGTCCAATGGACCGACTGGACCAACCGGCCCGTTGGGCCAATGGACCGGTTGGACCAACTGGCCCGTTGGTCCTGTGGACCGGTTGGACCAACTGGCCCGTTGGTCCAGTGGACCGGTTGGACCAACTGGCCCGTTGGTCCAGTGGACCGGTTGGACCAACTCGCCCGTTGTTCCAATGGACTGGTTGGACCAACGGGCCCGTTGGTCCAATGGACCGGTTGGACCAACTGGCCCGTTGGTCCAGTGGACCGGTTGGACCAACTGGCCTGTTGGTCCAATAGACCGGTTGGACCAACTTTCCTGTTGGTCCAATGGACCGCTTGGACCAACTGGCCAATTCGTCCAATGGACCGCCGGTTGGGCCAAGTGGCCTGTTATTCCAATGGGTCAGTGGGGCCAATGGAGGCCTGTTGGTCCAATGGACCGGTTGGACCAAATGCCCTATTGGTCCAATGGACCGGTTGGACCAATTGGCCTGTTGGTCCAATGGACCGATTGAACAAACTGGCCCGTTGGTCCAATGGACCGGTTGGACCAACTGGCCTGTTGGTCCTATGGACGGGTTGGACCAATTGGCCTGTTGGTCCAATGGACGGGTTGGACCAATTGGCCTGTTGGTCCAATGGACCGGTTGGACAAACTGGCCCGTTGGTGGAATGGACGGGTTGGACAAACTGGCCTGTTGGTCTAATGGACCGATTGGACCAACTGGCCTGTTGGTCCAATGGACCGGTTGGTCCAACTGGCCTGTTGGTCCAATGGACCGGTTGGACCAACTGGCTTGTTGATCGAATGGACTGGTTGGACCAACCGGCCTGTTGGTCCAGTGGACCGGTTGGACCAACCGGCCTGTTGGTCGAATGGACCGGTTGGACCAACTGGGCTGTTGGTCCTATCGACCGGTTGGACCAACTGGGCTGTTGGTCCTGTGACCGCATATGCACTTAATGCATATGCAATAACAGTAGTATGATGGTATAGTGTGGGCTTAATACTAAGACCATAGGAAGACTAGATAGGAATAGGAATATAAGTAATAGGTGTAGGATGTAGCGAAGTTACTGTTAGCAGCGGGGGTGTAGAAGGGGGGAAACAGGATAAGAGCGGTTGAGATAAAAAGGGGGAAAGACTCCGAAGGGCGAAATGTGAAACCAATCAACCCCAACCCCGAGCCGCACATTTGGAAATGTGCAGCCAGGGGTGGGGTAAGGTCACTCACCTCCAACCCATCGATGCTTTCTCGTTGTTATTCTCTCGAACTAGTGAAAGTTGTTGTCTCAAGCTCTAGCGCACTACAGCACGCCACTAAGAGGGAACCTACGGGGTGAGGGACGTAGCTCCTTCATAACAACGAGAAAGGCCGTGAAGAGACCTCTCAGCGTAGGCGATTATGGACAAATATGAACTGCGCTGGGGTAGGGCGTATAGTCGACGCGAGGAAGAGCGGCCGCGACGCCAACCATCGCGGGAACGAGGGCGATCCTGGGAACGATCGCCACGCCGACCGGCTTTCCGCGCGGATCGGGTCCCCACGGAGAGGGATCGTCGAGGGGAAGGAGCAGAAGGCGTGAGAGCGGGTACGGACGGGCAGACCATAGGCACGGATCGAAACGAGTGGCTACGCGAGAGCGCTCGTGAGACTGACGTGGGCGGCGGAAGCCACCGCGACGCAGGGGCGTTTCACTCGCCGGGGGATCGCGGGCGGCGCCGCGATGAGCGAGGGCGTTGGCGGGGATTTGAGGGACGGCCCCGGGGACGGGGAGGAGACGGCCGCAGTGACGCTCGCGAAGGGGCCGCGCAGGAGGACGTAGCGCCGGAGGCGACTCAGGAGCGGGACGCGGCAGAAGCGGAGGGGGACCAAGGGCTGCCGATCGAGGAGGCGGAAGTGGAAGATGCAGATGAAGCGCAGTCAGAGGGGACGGGCGAAGCGGAACCCATGCCGGCGGGAGAAAATGCGGGAATGAGTCAGGCGGTGGGCGGGGAGTTCGGGACCACGCTACAGGGACCGCGCGGTCAAGACAGCAGCCGCGGGGAGGGACACCGCGCGGAGGGCTCCAGGCGGCAGGACCAACGGACACCGGACGAGGGCGCTCGCTATGCAGATGCGTCCAGACCACGCGGTGAGGGAAGGGCGGAGCGGTCGCGCACGCCGGAAAGGGGTCAGCGCCGTGGAGAATGGCGCGTGGGCGAGTTCCGCCCGCATGACCGGCGGCAGGACCAGAGTGGCTGGGGCGGCGGCGGCATGCGCTCGCCGGAACGTCGCCAGGCGCGCGGTGACGAACGGAGGGGTGAGCCACGCTCACCCAGGTCCCAGGGGCGCCAGGAAGGGGGTCATAGGGCGGAGCGTGGGTCACAGGAGCAGCGCGGCCAGCAGCTGGGGGAGCGCAGCAGCGCATTGCGCTCGCCGGGCCGGCAGAGGCGGAGGGAGAAGCGGGACGACAGCGGGTCCCGCTCACCCGACTGGCGCCACGCGCGGAAGGAAGAACACGGAGGGGGGAGGCTCTCACCGGAGCGCCGCCAGCAGCGCAGCAGGAGGGAGGACGCCTGGTCGCCGTCGCCAGAAGGGCGGCCGCGTCGCGAGACGAGCAGATGGGAGGAGCGTGAGGTGCGTGGGCCGCCGACGCCACAGTGGGGACGGGCGGAAGGGTGGGGAGGATCGAGGGAGAGGCGGTACGAGTCAGGAGGAAGTCGCCAGGAGGGCAGAACGGAGGGCGGAACACTGGCGAAGGGGGCAGAGCGGGCACGGGAAGCCAGAGAAGGCATGCAAAGGGCGTGGGGGAGGGCAACGGAGAGGATTCGGCCGGAAGGGGCCAGTGAATCATGGGGAGAGGGGCGTGGGGGTGGCACCAGCACCCCGCGAGTAGAAGTGCCCGCCAGATTCTCAGGCGACCAACTTGCAGGGCCAACCCTCAAGAACTATCTCATGCAGGTGGGGAATGTGCGGTACCGCTGCGACCGGCACCACATGGACCCAGTGGACTTCTTCTTGAGCTTGCCGAACACACTGGAGGGGGAGGCCGAGACGCTCTACCGCATGAGGATGGAGGAGCTGCTGTGGAGGGCGGGGAGGTATAGGGGAGGAGCTGTTGTGAGGCGTATCTCCCCAGGCCAGCGGAGAGGAGCAGGCGGCCAACGTGGGCGGCGGCAATGATACCAGGAGGAGGAGGGAGGACGGAGGGACGGGGGGAGACAGGGACGGACACCAGGACATGCTACAGGTGTGGACAGCCAGGACATTTGCGCAGGGATTGCAAGAACTGTGACGGGTGTGGGAAGCCAGGGCACAGGAAGCGGGAGTGCCCGGATGCAGCCAGGTGTGAAATCTGCAAGAGGCAGGGACATGAGGCGAAGGATTGCTACCAGAGAGAAGGGGGGAGTAGGAGACAGCCGGAGGAGCTGCAGCGGCAGATTAGTAGGTTGCAGGCATAGCTGAGGGCGACCGGGCTGAAGGGGGAGGCAGAGGCAGGGATGTACGCAGGAGACGGGGGAGGAGAGGAGGTGGAGCAGGATGTGCAGTGTGCTCTCATGGCGTGGAGAGGAAGGGAGGAGATGGGGCTGAAGAGCGGAGGCAAGGATGGCAGGCGGGAGCAGGGAAGGAAAGAACATGTGAAGGGAGAGAAGCCAGCCGAGCCAGCCCCAGAGCCAGCCCCTACACGCCATCCCCAAGAGAGGCTGGCGTGCCAGACCTCGGTGCTGCTGCTAGAGAAGGGAGCCATGGAAGTGGAGGGAGAGAAGGTCAAGACAGCCATCATAGATACGGGGGCACAGAGCATGATGTTGGGCAAAGGGATGGCTGAGAGGCTGGGATTGCTGGCGCCGGAGAGGCACGTGGCTAAGGGGATGCTGGTGATGACAGCGGAAGGAGGGGAGCCGAAGTGGATGCCATGCACACGGACGCCTATAGAGGTGACGCTGCTACCGGGGGGGAACACGAAACCAAAATCCGCATAAAGTGTGGGATTTCCGATTTGGAGGACTTTGACGTGCTGGTAGGCACCGAGCTGGTGTATGCGGTAGGGATGACAATATGCACATGGACGGAGAAGGTCGAGTTTAGGACTAGATACTGGAAAAGGGAGGGGCCGCTGGGAGAGCTGCCAGTGCGATTTGTGAAGGTGGAGCCGAAGAGAGCTTATCAGGCCATGGGGGAACAGCTGCCGGGGGGGCAGGGGGGGCTGTTAGGGATGGGAGGAGCGCCCAGAATGAAGGGGATGGACAAGCCACAGCAGCAGAGCGATTGGCAGCAGCCCATACACCTGGTGGAGCTGTTTGGGGGGATAGGGGCAGGGCTGTCCGCAGTGGTGAAGGATGGGATAGCAGTGAAGAGATGGACATATGTGGAGAAGGAACCAGGGGTGAGGAGGATAGCGGAGCACCATGCCAGGAAGTTGCAAGCGGAATTTCCAGAACTACTGAGTGAGGGAGTGATCAGCAAGGCGATGGGGGGGACGATCCACGATGTGAAGGAGATAAGTGAGGCGGAGGTGGCGAGCTGGGGGCAGGTGGATCTGCTGGTGGCAGGGTGGGAATGCCAAGGGGTGTCTTGGGCAGGCAAGGGCAAGGGAGGAGAAGATCACAGGACAGGGTTGCTGGAGGACCTGTTCCGAATCATGGAGTGGCTGCAGGAGAGGCAGGGTAGGGTGGCATACTTGCTGGAAAACCTGGACCTAGAGGGAGATAGCAGAGAGCCAATCCGACTGGTGAGGGACAGAATCAGGGGGCAGCTGGGAGAAGGGGTGAGCTGTGATGCGGCCAGAATGGGGTCTTATGCGCACAGGCTCAGAATGTACTGGCAGAATGTGGTCCCTGCCGCGCAGCTGCAAGCAGAGATAGAGGGGGTGAGGCGAGCAGCAGAGAGGAAGGTGCAGGACATCCTGGCACCAGGGCGGACCCCAGCACCGGTGAGTCGCAAGAGCTACAGCAGGCACGAGCAGTGCAACCAAGTGGGGCAGGAGAGGCGGGCTCTGCCCACGCTGGTGGCGTATGTGGGGGCAGCAGGGTACAAGTGGGAAGCAGGGAAGTCTGGGCCGGGGATGGTGTATGACCACAAGAGATGGAGATGGGAGGAGCCCACGGCACTAGAGCGGGAGCTGGCTATGGGGTACGGAGTAGACGCAACAGCAGCACCTGGGGCAAGTGAGGTGGACAGGAGGAGGGCTCTGGGGAATGCAATGGATGGCCACGTGATGAGGTGGCTGATTCAGCGAATGTGGCAGGAGACGGTCGTGAGTTGGGGGCAGGAGGAAGGGAAAGGAGGGATGAAGGCGGAGCCACGGGGAGCGTGGAGCTGCCAGGCGAAGGAGGAAAAGAGCTGGGTGGTGGGGGAAGCGATGAGCAAGGGGGGAAGGGAGGCCATGCAGGGGCTGCTGGCGAGGCACCGGAAGTGTTTCGCTTTCACCATGCAGGAACCGGGGAGGTGCAAGGTGAAGGAGATGGAGCTGAAGCTGAGCAGCACTGAACCAGTGTTCCAGCGCAGGAGGAAGATGCCGCCCGGGGATGAGGAGATCTGCAAGGAGAAGATCAAGGAGCTGCTGGAAGCGGGACTGATTAGGAGATCGGAGTCCGAATATGCCACACCAACAGTGGTGGCAGCCAGGCGAGACCTGACAGGGGAGGTGCTGAGCAGGAGGATGTGTGGAGACTACAGGGCACTCAACAAAATCACCGTAGCAGACAGGTACCCGATGCCGATGGCGGAGGAGATCTTTGATAAACTGGCAGAGGGGGTGTTCTTCACTACGCTGGACCTGCGGCAGGGGTTCAACCAGATCAAGATCAGAGAGGAGGACATCAGGAAGACGGCCTTTCATGGGCCAGACGGGCTGTATGAGTGGTTGTACATGCCATTTGGACTGCGGAACGCATCAGCAGTGTTCCAGAGGGTCATGGACAGCGTGCTGCGGGGAGTGGAGTGCGCGGCCTGCTACATAGACGATGTGGTAATCTTCAGCACCACAGAGCAGCAGCACCTACAGGATGTGGAGAAGACCCTGGCGGCGATTGAAGCAGCATGACTCACCTGCCACCCAAAGAAGTGCAGATGGGGGGAACAGACAGTGCAGTACCTGGGGTATTAGGTGAAAGGGGGACAGATAGGGATCCAACAGGCCAAGGTGGAAGTGCTGGACAGACTGAGGGAGCCGAAGGACAAGTCAGGGCTGAGAGCAGTGCTGGGCTTCTTGAGCTACTACAGGCGGTTTGTGCCCAACTTCAGCAAGAGATCGGCGGTGTTGAATGGGCTATTGCGAGAGGACAAGGCGTGGGAGTGGGGAGAAGCACAGAAGGGGGCACTGCAGGACCTGATGGCTGCAGTGAAGACCGCAACGGTACTCAAGCTGCCCGCCGCTGATCAGCCGTTCACGCTCTACACCGACTGGAGCAGCCAAGGGATGGGGGGAATTCTCTGCCAGGAGGTGGAAGGAGAGGAGAAGGTAGTGGCATATGCGAGCAGAAGCTGCAACTCGGCAGAGGCACAGTACAGCTCCTACATCGGAGAAGGGTTGGCGGCCGTATGGGCAGTAGGACATTTCAGGGTGTACCTGCAGGGGAGGGAATTCACCTTAGTGACAGACCACCAGCCCCTGACGTGGCTGATCACAACCCTGGGACTAACGGGTAGGAATGCAAGATGGGCGATGAAGCTGCAGGAGTATGACTTCAAGATTAGGCATAGGCCAGGAAAAACACTGCAACACGTGGATGGCCTCTCTCGTTTTAGGCACATTGGAGCCTACTGTGACTATAACACGGGTAGGGCAGGTGCTCACCAGGGGCGGGTAGGGCAGGTGCCACCGGTGGCGGGCGGGGCAGGCGCGCGACGGGCGGCTGCAGGGTAGGGCCGCGACGGGCGGCTGAGGGCAGGGCCGCGACAGGTGGCGGCAGGGCAGGGCCGCAACGGGCGGCGAGGTCAGGGCCGCGACGTGGGGCGGCAGGGCAGGGCCGCGACGGGCGGCTGGGTCAGGCCGCCACGTAGGGCGGCAGGGCAGGGCCGCAACGTAGGGCGGCAGGGCAGGGCCGCGACGTAGGGCGGCAGGGCAGGGCCGCGACGGGCGGCAAAGCAGGGCCGCGACGGGCGGCGGGTCAGGCCGCGACGGGCGGCGACAAGGCAGGGCCGCGACGGGCGGCTAGGTTCGTGCCGCGACGGACCGTTAGGGCAGGGTCGCGTCGGGCGGCAGCAGGGTAGGGCGCGCGACGGCGCAGGTGAGGCAGGCGCGACAGCGCGCTTCGGGCAGGTAGGAAAACTTTTCGTGGTGGGCCCTTAAAAAAATCGTTCCCACTAGGGAACCTGCTCAGAAACCATGTGAAAGTAACATCGAGGAATGATTGAATTAGCAAGCAGGTGGGTACAAGTAGGAAAACCTAAAAGTGTTGTACCCCATATTGACTACCCCACTACAGCCTACACAGACTATGTCATATAAGTTTGACATTCCAGATCTGGTTACACTCGCGAGGTTTTCATACTTTGCGACCCACAACCACCGATTTCGACAACACCCTGGTTCGCGAGCCAGTCACGTTTCTTCCCCCTAGCAACCTTCCTAACTTAGAAACTCTTGGACCCCGGGTTTTAACACCAGAGGCAATTGTGCTTCTTGTTCTTTTTGGAAGTCTAAATTCCGTTAAGAATGGACTAACACGGTGCGCAGAATGAACAAATGTTGAACTTTGTGTGGGAATAACCGAATTATTATTCAGGCATTTCCAAAGGCTTCACCCTAGCGCATCGGTTCATAACAAATATGTGCTTGTACCTGTTACGATATGAAGTTTAATGAGAAGGCGTTCCTGTATGCTGCAGGAGCCGACTCTACCGAGTACGAAGTCGGGGAGTCAGAAGAGTCGAAGCGACGCTGGCAACCGTCTGATTAAGACCGATGCAAGCATTACCCTGCGATCAACCCTGAGCGATCCTTCGCTAAGTCCCGCTGAACTGAAAAAAGCGGGAACAGGTTTGAAACGGGTTCCCGTGCCGCACGGTTTGAATTCGCTGCAATAAGGGAATGTACCCCTTAGAGTACATGGCTAGTCTAGGTCGTTTCGCATTCCTTTGTATTTCCTATATAAATTCGATGTATGCATGCTATTATCAATCTCACTCATTTACATTCATTCTGACTTGAGGTCAACTCTTCCGCTGCAAGCATTACC